TTCCATTAATAAAAACGCAGAAAAATTATTTTATATTTTAGAAAAGTTTGGCGTAGAATTTTGAACACCCTGTATGATTTAAGATTACGATATTTATAGCAAAGTAAGCATAGACCATCTAAGTAAATACCTATTATAGTTTTGATTTCAGGGAATTTTATCGAAATATATTTACTCATATCTTAGGATTATGTAAAATTACCTGAAAGGAAACCAAAAAGCAATAATATGCAGGGTGTTCCATTTAAAGAAAATCGTCCCGATCCCCTCACACTTTTTGAGCCACCCTATAGAAATTAAAACATTTTCCAGAAATGCACGTTTGCACTTAAACAAAATTCTCAACTTTTTTATTCTAGGAGCTACAGATGTCCGACGCACTTTTGCCGGACCCTGTATGTTGAAATTGATATTGTATCAAATTTGACGATTTAAATATCGAAATCGATATTTAAATTGTTCAAAACTGACCAGCTCTAGTTACTTACTTTTTTAATAAATATGATGTCATAACTCGTTACTTTCTTTATTAAGGATGATTATCTCGGGAGCTTAAGATCTGAGATAAATGTTTTTATTGTGGAATTCGGTAGGAGTTTTTAGTATTTTATGACTCTGCTTATAACCGGGTGTCTCAATACACCTGTCTCAATAAAATGTTCAAAAAAAAACTTTGATGTGTTTCCAATATCTTCATAAATATAGAGATATTTATTTCTCTACAACTATCAAATCGAATTTAATCATGTAAAGTGGTCAAAATGGAAGCCAAAAATATATTCAGAATGTTTCATTAAAAAAAATTACCCCTCCCTCTTTTTGAGACACCTTGTACATGTGAACATATTTTCTTGAAATATGGCATAGTACACAGTCTAGGTCTGCACTTCAAACAAAATCTGTAAGTTTTTTATTATAAGATATATCTAGATGCACAACGCATGCACTATTGCTGGACTCTCTACAGGGTGGTCCGAACTGTATTCCGGAAACTTCGGCAGTATATTCTGCAGATAAAAATAACTAAAAAAGTTCATGTAAATTCACAAAAATGATTTTAGAAAAATCATTCACTAAAATGTTTTACTTTTATTACGATACACCACTCTGTATGTACCTGCATGTATAGTGAAAATAAAATTTGCATTCTTATCTTTGAGGATTATGAATCTAAATCTTATATTTTAGAAAGATCACAAGCATGAATACTATTTGATGGGTACAGTATTTTTTCATAAACAAACATTTTGTTAATAAACATTTTATTATAATAGCCAAAAAATGAAATAAAACAGTAATACTGATAATTAGGAATAATACGTGTATGAAGCATTGTAAAGGTACGAAAAAAATAAGAATTTAGATATTTTTCAAAATAAAACATAAATGGAACTCTAGAGATATTGATAGAAATATCAAAAATTCTAAATAATATTTTTTTTGCTTAATCTTTTATCTACTTATCTTTCCGGCCAAAAATTACTTGAGCTAAATCAGTTTAGATAAATGATAAGAAAATTTCTTAAAAAAAATATCAACTTTCCAGAATGTAATATAACCGCCTGGCAGGTAAAACATACTGCGAAAAATATGATTAAAAATAATGTTTTTTATAAATTAAGTCAACTCCAACAAACGAATATTAATGTAAGTTGAAATTTACATTTCTTGGTGTTCTCTTCATTAATTAGTGTATCATTTTATGTTTTTGTTTACTAGTTCTAGTATCTTTAGTCTTTAGTGTTTATTTATTAATAATAATTTCAATAATTTACAAACACAGAATTTTATACCTAAAAGTTGATTAATTAACTTTAATCTTAATTTTTTGAAATCAGTACCTTTTGACCTTATTTCTACAGTACTAAAAGCTATTATTTGCTTATCGTTTGATGTCTTTAATTTACAGCTACTCCAGTTTTTATATCAGATACGGATGGTATACAAACTTTATTAGTGGCTAATACTACTCTTTGAGTCTACACTTACTTTTCTCAATTTTTCTTCCACTTAACTTTACAAAAATACAAAACACACATAATCAAACAAACCAAAATGAAAAATCAAAATCGCAAATATTTATCATTTTCCAGAACGCTCATTATTTGACATAAATTGACACAATAATAACCTTTAATTTGACGAAGAGTTTGGCAAGTTTCAAAAATCTTAAGTGGAGTTCATACGCATCTGCGTCCGTGTGTCGTTTATCGTTCCGTCACTCTAATCACATTGAAATATGATCTGTCATTTTTGAAATAAACCAATAAGACTGGTTAAAAACTACAAGAGATAACGCAAGACGGACTCACTGGAGACTTAACTTAACGCCAAACATGAAGTTTGGGGAGGACATCGCACTGAAAGAAGAGGCAGGGAAGTACTGGAATGGTGCGAGATCAATAACCTAACCGTACTAAATGACGGAATTTACCCAACCTTGGTCAGAACATCTGGCACATCGTATATTGATCTGTCAATAGTATGCGATGGATTACTGCAGATGAAACCCATATGGCAAGTCCTTGAAGATCCGGATGTAACAAGCACAAGTTTATTTTTACCGAAATACCATCAGATAACTCGCAAGGAAAAAAAATCAGGTATAAATACGGAGAAATTAATAAGGTTAAGCTTAGTGAAGCATTCAAATATAGCATACCGGGCAAGTCACCAACTATGTCAGCTTACAAAATGGCAAAAATAATTCGCGCAGCATACCATAAAAGTACTCCGACTGTCCGTTGTGATGAAGACTTCCAGATGCCGTACTGGTGGAACGAAGATATCCAAACAAACATTTTAGAAGTAAAAAAAAGGAGAAGAAGGTTTCAACGAGAAACAAGAAAAGATGATCTTCGCGAGCTCTATAAACGTACCTACAAAGAAGCAAAGCAGGATCTGTCTCAAAAGATCAGAATTGCAAAAATAAGTTCATGGGAAAAACTGTGCGATGACTTACAAGAAAATATTTACGGCCAAGCATATAAGATAATAAGATCCCAGCTGAAAAAAATGCCACCCAGAGTTCAAATGGACCCAGAAGAAAAAATCAAACAGTTTAAGGCTCTATTTGTATATGAGAGACAAACCTGGACTCAACCAAATAATATACAAACCGTGATAAGAGAATGTGATATTTTTTGTGATTCAGATATAATAAATGCTGCCAAAGATATAAAAATTAACAAATCTCCGGGCTGTGATAATTTGCCACCAAATGTGATAAAAACGCTAATATTGGACAATGTAGAATATTTTAGAACATTTTTCAATAACTTTCTTCAGAGAAATGAATTCCCTAAAGAATGGAAGAGATCCAAATTAACTCTAATAGAGAAACCCCGGAAGCACCTAAATGATCCACCAAAATATCGTCCGATTTGCCTCATTGATGTAATCGGGAAAGTCTATGAGAAACTCATCAATACGCGACTCTTGGAAGAAATTAGGAAGAAACGAAATGGTATGCATCAAAACCAGTATGGATTTGTAAAGGGAAATCTACCACACATGCAATAAAGAAAATATCGGATATCGTGAAAAGAAAAGCCACTTGGCATAATGCTTTGATTTTAGTCGACGTTAAAAATGCATTTAATTGCGCGTCATGGGAAATAATTATTAAAGAACTTAGAAGATGGGGCATAAGTAGCTATTTGGTGAACATAATAAGAAGCTATCTTGATAATAGATTTATAGTTCTCAATAGAGAAGATGAAAGAGAGGTATTCGGTGGCGTCCCACAGATCTCGGTGCTGGGGCCAACTCTGTGGAACATATTATACGACAGTGTCATGGAGCTTACTGTACCAGGTGGGACAGAGTTGATCTGTTACGCCGATGATCTTGCTGTGATAATAACAAAAAAAAACTAAAAGAAACAAAAAAATAAACGACCTCGACCTAATGCAGACTGTGGATGATACACTAAAGATCATAGCCAGATGGATGCGTGAGCACAGACTCGAAATAGCTGTGGAAAAAACAGAGGCGATTTTACTGAGCCGCAAGAGAAAAGTTGACCATATAAGGTTTAATTTTAAGGATATAATAGTAAATCCAGTAAAGCAAGTCAACTATCTTGGATTCCACATAGACCGTGCACTCACGATGGGCCTGCACATCAAGGAGGTGTGTCTGAAATCACAACGAACTGCTAAAGCGTTGTCCGCAATACTGCCAAACATTCGGGGGCCAACACCAGCAAAGAGAAGAGTGTTAGCATATGCGTGCCAGAATATTATTATGTATGGAGCACCTGTGTGGAACGAAGCAACCAATATGCACGCAAATAAAAAAAGACTTGAAGGTGCACAGAGAGTCATGGCTTTGAGGGTCTGCTCGGCGTATCGGACTACTTCAACTGAGGCAGCCTTGGTGATATCGGGTCTGGTGCCCTTGCATCTTCTCTCAAGAGAATGAGAACAACATCTCCGCAGATACCCTCTTAAAATCAGTAACAGAAAGAAGAGAACACTTTGAAGCCATCTCAAAACTGGCCCAAAATATACTAGAGGCAAAATACAGCGAAGAGCAGGGGTAATGACAAAAAAGGAACAGTCCGGCGCTACTTGAGGAGATGCGTCCAGCGGGTCCAGGTAGACGTGGCAGGAGCAAGGGGGTGACGTTTAGTGGGTAGTGTCCTCCAGACAGCTTAAGGAGAGATTGAGTCCCACACTCCGTACGTAAAGGTATTTTACACCTACGAGTATATACCCATCTAGTTAACTTAAAAAATACTAGAAACTTTTTTTATGAAATAAATGGATTGGTATGGACGTCATCTGCCTTTTTTCTGTTATCGTCTGTCGAAACCTTACCTGAGTCGCGTAAGACGTATACCAACATTAGAAGATGTAAACAAAACCTGACAGTAATATGAAATAATATTTTTAACGTTCTCTGGGAATTACTACACTAATTTGTCTAAATCTATAATTACATAGTATTTTGAATATTATTCTCTTATTACTTATACAAACTATCATTATTTTTAGATATGGTTCAAGGGAGTGAGAAGCTCGAAATTCAGACACGTCTACGGAGAGCCAGCGAAAAGAGACAAATGTTACGAAAACATTCAAATCACGAAAAACGCTCACGATTCGCAGTTTTGCGCTGTGAATCCCAAATTCCTGGCTGTGGTTACCGAAGTTGCCGGTGGGGGAGCTTTTATAGTCGTACCAATAAATTGCGTAAGCGCTTCATAACCCTACTTTATAAAAAAATTCATAGTGTTATTTTCAATTCTATTAAAAACGTTATATTTTTAGACTGGCAGGCTGGACTTCAATGCCAGTAAAGTTACTGGACATTCAGGGCCGATTTTGGACTTGAAATGGAACCCTTTCAATGACAATGTCATTGCGTCATGTTCCGACGACTGCACAGTAAGTAAAATAGAATTAATTTATGAAATTTTGAAAATATTACACCACCAAAAATAAAGAAACATGATTTTTATTTTTTCATTTTTAAAATATATATCTATCTGTTAAAAAAATGTATCTATGAGTCACTGGACTTAGCATTCAAGGAAACCAATTTCATAATACAGGCAGTCCTCGATTTACGTCGTTTCGTGTTACGTCGTTTCGAGTTACGTCGAACAATTTTTTGTCACTATTCCTCAAAGTCGTTTGAGTCGTTACGTCCCACTGTTTCGAGTTACGTCATTTTTTGAAAAGAACGATCCAAATTTTAAAAGAAGTCTGGACAAAAACAATAAAATTTTAGCAACATACAAGCAGGGTTGACAGATCATCATAATGAAAAAGCGGCACAGTGTTGATCATTACTTAATTAACTATTACGACTTTTGACGATACCCACAATAAAAGTTCCAACCAAAAAAATATAAATAAATACTTTCTAAATATGTTTACTTTACTCTCTGGTATTTCTGTAGTTGCCATATTAGTATATGTATTATATTTACTATTATATGGATAGTTAAAAATACTTTTTTGATTAGATAATGAAAAAGCGGAACTGTAAAAATACTCGCCCTAATTTGTTTTTCATAAAAAAATACTTTTTTTATGTTTTTTTTTTTCGTTTTTTTTTGTTTCTTGTATTATTATAAATTTAACTACATTACAATACACTGTTTCTCATACCTCAATTATTTAAAAATACAGTATTATTAATATATTCAAACGCACATCTCTTTGTTTTATAGTATTTTTGTCTTACAAAAGTACCTAACTTCTCCATTTTCTATAGGATCTTATGACAAAATAAGATTCGACTTATGTCGTTTCGACTTAAGGCGCTATTTAGAAGAACCTCTGCCGTAAGTACGAGGACTGCCTGTACATATCTCTTTGACATTCTAACAGTTAGTCGTTAGATAAGCCAAATTAAAAATTAACAAGTGCTATCTAAAAATCCGATAAAGTAAAACCAAAAAATTTTGGAATGTTATCTGTTTTATTGTTTGTTAAAATTTTTTTTTTCATTTTTTTTTTCTTTCATTTTTTTATTTTCTTATAAATCTTTTTTCACATACCTATTTTTTGTTATTCAATATTTTTTGTATTCTTTCCATTATTGAAATCCTACACAAAAATTGGGTTATTTGTTACTCTTTTTTTACAGATTAAATTATGGCATATTCCTGATGAAGGCTTAGCTATGCATCTGAATGATTGGTTGGTGGAACTTCAAGGACACAAACGCAGAGTTGCCTATATTGAATGGCATCCCACAGCTGAAAATGTTCTTTTCAGTGCTGGTTTCGACCATCTGGTAAGTTATTTAGGTACTTCTTTAGTCAAATAATGTGTTAGCTACCTAGAAGTGACAGAGCACGACTCCTTTGAAGTATATGTCCCATTTTAGCCTACCATACCAACAGGTATGATAGGCTATTAAGATCGGCAAAAAAAAAAGATTTTTTAATTTCACTCAAAATGAGTTATTTGGGTCATAAATGACCTAAATACAAAATATTTTTATGGTGTCTGTCTGTCTGTCTGTCCGTCTGTAACACGATAACTCAAAACCGCTAAACCGATTTTAACCAAATTTGGCACAAAAATACTGTGGCACCCGAGAATCTGGCTATTAGTTTTTGGTGGGGTGGGGGTGGGGGTATGGGAGGGGGTTTAAAATTTAAAAAAATCGTAACTCCAAAATTACATTAGCCAGCGAAACGCGGTTTTCAATTTAACATTAGGAATAATATTTGCAACAAAATTTGTAATAACATCAAAATCAGTCAAAGTCGCAGTTTTTGAGATATTCCGTGTTAACCGTAGTCCGTTTTTGAGAAAATCCGTGTGGAGAACTCCAAACTCCCATCGGACGCGACCCCAGGTGGCGGATAGGGGAAATAACCGCGGACCAAAATTTGAAAAATTCCTTTACTTTGAAACTAAAAGAACTGCCTACCAACTTTTTATTGACATATTTTAGTATGGACAGCTATACGTGCTTCCCCGCGCCAATTTTTTTTACTTTGGCGTCACATATTTTGATAATAATTAAACTCATTTGTGTAGTTAAAACATGTTTCTGGACATTTTATTGAAAAAATCGTTTTAAATTCACTGAGAAAATTGATTAAACTTACCTCTTATTTTATTGTGAAATGTTTATTTTTATTTATTAACATTTAGTAATACAAATTAAAAAAATACGGTCTAAAATAAAATTATAAACGTGATTACAGAGGGATAAAAGATTAAATATCTCCTTTTTTTGGCCTTTTTTACATCTTGATGTAAAACACGTGTAAAAAATGTAATTAAAAAAGTACCATATAGCTTCTGTATCGTTAAGTATTAAGTTTCTGGATTCTAGAGACTTTAGTTAGTTATTTTGTGCTTTACTGTGGAGTTTTTAATGGCATGACAAGACAGTGCTTTTTTATGTCTTCTATATTAAAACTAAATTAATTTTTATTATACTTTCTGTCCGATAATATCTTAGTATTTTGGTATTTTAGGTTATAGTGTGGGATATTGAAAAGGGGGAAGCAATAAATGTCATTGATTGTCACCACGACGCTATTCAGTCGATGTCTTTGAACAGAGATGGAAGTCTGTTGGCAACGACGTGCAAAGATAAGAAATTGAGGGTGATCGAGCCTAGAAGCGGTATAGTAAAATCGGTGAGTTAGGTTTGATTAAATTCGAGTTCGAAATTAACGAGCCACATAGACAAGAAAGTACCGTAGTAAGTATAGTTGAAAATACCTACTTCATAATAGGAGTATAAGAGAATCTGCAATAATTAGTAAGACTTATTCTTTCGTTAAACTTTACTACCAATTAAAATATGTGCACGTATTTAAGAGGTATCACATATAAATATAGTTTGGTTAATGTTTTCAAAAAATTTTTATCTAACAAACCTACAAGTTTTTTCTTTACTTATTTGTAATAGTCTTGTATAATTACAACATACTCTTCCTTTTTTTTTTGGAACTCTTTCTGAATTTTTGTTTTGTTTCAAAGTTCATAATTGATTAAGTTTGACATCAAATGTAGCAAATTAGTTATAAACATTTTTCAGGAAGGTATATGTCATGAAGGTTCCAAAGCTAGTAAAGTTGTTTATTTGGGATCCACTGGAAAGCTCTTAACGACTGGATTTTCAAGACATTCGGACAGAAGGTTAGTAACTTTTTCTAATAAATATTTTGCAATAACTACACTTTTTCAATATTTTTCTTACTGATATAGTAGTGGTAGTAATTGCGAAGGTAATCAGCATTGAGAACCGTTACTCCGGAGTTTAACCCTAGTTTTTTTATTGCAAATAATTAATCTTCATACAATTTTATGACACCCGTATTTTTTTATTTTACTTCAATTTCATCCCATTTTTTTTTTAAATTAATCAATATTAAAAATTTCCTATTTACACTTTTGCAATCTCTGACGTCACCTATCAAATGTGTATACAAATCTAACCTCGAACCCTCGAACGTCTCGAACATCCGAACAACTTTGGTAGTGTTTAGTGCTTCGATAAAAATGGCAGTAACCTGTTAATTGTAAAAAGTTAAGTTTTAATTTCTAGTAGTAAAAAATATAAAAGTAAATTTAATATTGGGGTAATAAAGAATAACACCACATAAAACTTATTTTTTAACGATCTTAATAAAAATAGAAAAATCTAACGTGATTTTAAGATATATGGTGTAAATACGGTAGCAGAGAACTAGACGCGCCATAATATTATTCTTGAGAGGCTCGCGCCCTCTGTCAACTATTCAGTCAAATTCTGATAGGTGACATCAAAATTTTCTACGCGTTATTTCAAACCAGTGAAATTTGTATTGAATTTGATTTATTATTTATTTCCTTTGTTTATTCCTTAATTGTAACTTCGTTGCATTTCTTTTTGTATTGAGGGAGTACTTTTTAATCACTTCAATCCAATTTTATATTAAAAATAACAAAAATTTACTATGGTTAAACCACAGATTATACAGATTATAATCTTTGTTTTTTCTTTGTTGTTATTCGTGGTTTCAATTTTCGGAATCGGGCACTAGTTAGGTGACTAGTTTGCGCATATAGCACGCCCACTTATGGCCTCTAAAATTGTGCACAGCGCCTGACCGGCACAGTTATTAGAGAGATATCGCAAAACCGAATAGCGTCATGCAGTATTTACGCGTACCTTATCATGGTCAGTCATGGTTACTATATGCGCGAGTCAATTTTTAACGCAAAGCCCGCTAATAACGTTACCGTCTGACGTAATTTGCGGATCAATTACACCAAGCGCTATTTCTAAATAACGTTAAAAATTGCTTAAATGGGCATGTGCGGGTATTTGATAACCGGGGCCGGCCGCGCCGGCGAGATCTTTATTTTAGGTTATGTTTGAATTGTTTTGAATTATTACTTTAGTTTTATTGGGTAATTTGATATTTAAGTAGCTGGGATTAGTTTTAATTAAATAAATATCCCAAAATATGGATTCCACCTCTTCCAATATTAAAGAACCTATAAAGGACTTAAGCCTTGTTCATGTAGACGCGAATCGCGATTTTGCGAAACTGCTCTCATTGGTCCAATTTTAATGATCATGGCGGCGCTGTCAGAAATTTTAAGATTTTGGCGATTCGCAAGATTTAAAATTTAGGGGGCGGGAAAGTTAAAGTGTTTTCAACATTTTGCGAATATTCGCGAGATTTTAAGGTTCGCGTTTGCGCAGAATGGTGTTGTGATCGGTTATCGATTATTTTGACGACGCTGACAAAGTACAAAGTAACTGAAAGGATTTCTCCAGGTAAAATGGGTTCTCGTGCATATGTTTATGATAGGTTTTTGATATATATGGTGACAATTGTTCAACCAAGTTATCAAACTCCTGTACAGACAATCTGTGAAAATTCCTAAATTTTTTCTCATCTTTTGTCCTCATTTCTTGAATTAAATTGCGATAAGCACCCTTGTTGCTTACGAAATTTAAATATTGCACATGTCCCAAATGACCGTTCTCTTCTACGTTTTAACAATAAGTAAATGGCAATTTTACGCCTTCTGTTCCAATCCCACAATCATAATCAATATTCATAATCATTATACAAATTTGAACTCATATTAGATTTGTTCGGGTTCTTGTTATTACCGATTCTGACCCGTCCTAGAACTCTGCAGTGCATGCGCAAATGAAATAATGTCTTCATATTTCCTTCTGCGCATTCGCATCACTGTTCTAGGACGGTTCAGAATCGGTAATAAGAGAAACCCCAAGTAAGCTATTGTATGCTATAAAATATAAAATAAAGGTCGTAAACACGAATAAAAAACAAATTAAGTTATCTCAGGTTATGATTTTTTTTGGTAACTTTCAGTGGAGCAAAAATGAAATGCCCTAAAAATTCGCGACTGTATGAAATAGGTCCAAATTTTGCGAATATTTTTTGGCGAATTGCTTTCCGCAATTCGCAATTCGCGTCTGCATGAAACAAGCTTTAGGTTTACAGCAGATGACGACTTAGCCCTTCTAAGAGAATTATTTGTTGCTTGTTGCTCTAAACCCACTGGCAGACGTTGAACAATAAAGCACTGGAAAGAAGCACTTTAGCCCTTTACTTTTAAAATACCTAGTAAACAAAACAATTTCAAAGTTTTAAATTCAAAGTTAGGTTAAGTTTAAATAGCGGACGCGACGCGACCAGAATACTTTCCGATCCGATAACTATAAATGAAGAGAGTTAATACCACCTCACGTAAAGGAAATAACATCTGGCCTTATTAACGTCCATGCACGCTATTCGGTTTAGCGATATCTCTCTATTACGCTGTTTATTGTTATTTTACGGGAGTTTATTTTTGCGCACAGGAAATTTGACTCGTTTGCACATCGTCATAAAAAACAATTTTCGTACCACGAATTAGGGATAAGATTTTTATCTGTATACATATAGTATACTTAATCTGTGGTTAAACCTTAGGTTAAACACCGGATTGTATAAAGCTGTAGTCTTTAGATAAATTTATCTTCTAGATACGCCATTTGGGATGAGAATGATCTTTCCGAACCGTTGTTCTCTGACACTATTGACAGTTCATCTGGTATAGTGTTCCCTTTCTTCGATCCAGACACTAACATAGTATTTTTGGCTGGTAAAGGAGATGGAAACATAAGATTTTACGAGATTTGCGATGAACCGCCTTATATTCACTACCTCAGTCAAGTGATTTCAGGCAATCCACAGGTAATTTATAACTTACATTGGTTATTCGTTTAATTTTTACATACCAGGAAATATCAGAGAACCATAATAACCTTTAAACCAATATTTTTTTTAAATAATTAAACATTTAAATTTTAAGTTTTCCAAATATTTACTAACAGTATTTAGTCATTATCAAGATAATATAATTTTACGTAGAATCGGAAAATAAACTCGAACATTTTGTTTTTGATTAAATATAAAAGAAATACATATTTTATATCTGTTACACTTGTTTTTCAAGCACTCTATATACTTAGAAATGATATTAATTTCGGTTTTTTATTCGCATTTATGAAACAAATTCCTTTCTCTTTTTTATCGTTCACTCACCCTGTACATAATCCTAATATTTCTGAAAAAATTGCTAGAGGGGGTTGGGTGTCATGCCAAAGAGAGGCTTGAAGGCTACCAACTGCGAAATATACCGTTTCTACAAACTGCACGCAACGAAAGGCTTGTGCGAACCCATAGGAATGATAGTACCCAGAAAAAGTGACCAGTTTCACGAAGATCTCTATCCTGATACTGCAGCTCCCAAGCCAGCTTTGACCGCCCAAGAATGGGTCAGGGGATCCAACGCACCTCCAGTGTTGGTGTCGATGAGGACAGGTTGGTTTTTTTTTATAAAAAAAAAGAATTATTAAAAATGTCTATGCCTCTGGCGGATTCATCTCTCCAAAAAAGTCCTATGGGTATGGGTATTTCGCCACTGCAAGAAAATCAACAAAATAAAATAGTTATTTTTTGTAAACACTACTGGCGTTAATCCAACGGAGACTAATAATTGTCAGCAGTGGCTTACTAATAAACAAATTTGCCTAACGGACAAAAAAATGCTTAACGTTTCGGAAAGTATATCTCTTTATGTTGTCGGAACCAAAAAAAAAACAAAGAACAAAGAAAAAAACTATTTAAAATATCTAAATGCAACTATTCGATAACACTTTAGTTTTTTTTTAAACAGATACGTCTACAAAAAACCGTTGACGTTCTGTTAAAATGACATTATATCCATAGATAAAAGAAAATAATCTTCTATTAAGATAGATATGAAACTTAATAGTAAAATTTTGGGTCAAAGCGCCCCTCCGTGTTCGTAGTAGAAACTACGTTTAACCCAGCGCCTTCGCCTTTTCTGTTGTAAATATTTTTTATGTTTATATTTGATTTCAAAGGATTTAGTTTTAAAGTGACACTGATATATTAGTATATCAGAGTCACTTTAATAAAACATAAGAATATATATATTTTACAGTTTATTAAATATAAATTTTGACTACAAGGTAGAAAGTAAATCACAATATTTGATAAAACTTATAAGTATACCATTTTTACAGTTAATAAATAATAAAACTATTTCTGACTATGATATTTAAAATTTAGATAGATGGAATATTAAAAAACATACCGGTATTTGCAGACGCAGGCCCAAATTCAATAAAAACCAAAATTTTTCCTGCGAAAATCGGGCTTTTTTCATAGAAAATGTATTTTTTGATTTATAACAATCATTGTCAAGTTGACAATATACAGGGTGTTTTCTAATTAGTCTAAAAAATTGTGGTGTGATTCCTCATGTGTTCTTAAAACAATTTTTATATATAACCATTAGGTCTGAAGTACTTCCTTTCTGATCTACAGGGTGTTAAAAATTAAAAAAAAAATCGATATTTTGCTTAACATAAATGGTACACTACTGCTTTTTTAAAGAAAATATATTTTTTTCTTGACTGGCCATCCTTTTTCAACAAAATTGATCTTTTGAGTTTTTCTTGTTCATCAAACGGTTGCCGAGAAAAAAATAAATATACTTATTAAGAGCCCGCCTTAAGCCGTTTTCTAACGATTTTTTATTTTTTAGATTAATTAGGAAACACCCTGCATATGCATATCACAGGCAACCAAATAAACTAGTAACCTCTAAAAATTATTTTTCCTACCACTAGCGACATACCGTGTTGTTAGTGAGTACTAAATTATTTTATCAAAATTTCACCATATAAGTTTCCAGGCAATGATTATATCATGTTAAACTTCAAAATTAACAATTACTACCTGATAACAATTACTTAATAAGGTAAAACCAAAAAGCTTCAAACTTTCTGTATTATTATTTTTAATTTGTTTTTAATTTTTACGTAAAATATGTTATGTTCTTTAATATCAAAGAAGTGATTGCCATACATTACTAACATCTACAGGTGCATGAGCAATACATTTATTTAATTTTCATTATAGACATATGACGGCATTTCATGTGATTTTTTGTGAAAAAATCTGTGTTTGTATCCGTGTACAATTAAATAAAATAAATGTATTTTTTCATAGGAGAAAACAATACTCTAGACATCCATGCTATCAAACAACGAAAATTCACTGCTCAAGAAAAAGTACCACCTGCAATCAATAACAATAGAAGAAAATTCCAGTTCCTATCCACAGAAACCATTCCAGGTACTACATACTTTAATAATTATTATTATTTATTTTATTTTCTATATCAAAATTCGGACTTTTTCTTCACAGACTACAGACCAAAGGAACTTATCAACGAAAAATCGCTGAAAACCACTACAAATCAAACCACAAAATTCCAGCAATTACAACAAAGATGGTCAAGTACAAATGAACCAACGAATAAGAGCATTCCACTATTGAGAGAGATCAATAGTATTGGTGACAATATTTTGACAGAGCACGATGTAAGTATGAACGTCAAAAAAAATCAGTAAGGCTGTTTTTTACCTTGGTTATGGTTTTATGTTCTGTTTCTATCAGTTTCCTGAAAGTTTTATTATTACGGAACACGGTTCCTGAAAAATATCTATCATAATTGTCAATGTCAACACTGATTTTACTAATGCTTATTCAAGATCATGTTTATGTCAATTTTACACAGGTTTTATTTTCTATCTCAAAAACTATTTGAGATAGGTGTAGATTAGTATAATACAAAAATTATAAGATATGAAAGTAGTTTCTAACAATGTTTTAATACACCGGATGTTCCATTTAAAACAAGAAAGATGCCACTTTTCAAATGCGGCAACATTGCAACGCTGTAAAAATCCAAATTTTCAAAAAAAAATCACCGGTTCTTAACAAACGTCTAACCTACCATCACATCGCCGTGAATCACCCTATACAGGGTGTCCCCGAAAAGAGTGCAAGTATTTTAACTGGTAGTATAGTTCAACCCCAGAAACACGACTATGAGTTTTTTTCGCGAAAAAACAAATGAAAATTCGAAATTTTTTTGGGGATTTTTTTTTAATTTTTCGTTAAAATACATAATTTCTTGCTAATATGGCAACATACGTACTAGATTAAATTTACAAGAAAAAAAATCCAGAAAAGATCCAGTGGCTCTCAAAAAAGATCCAGTGGCAGCAAAAAATCATTTTTTTTTTTGGAAATTTTCAAAGTAAAATAACTCCGTTATTTTGGACTTATTTGAAAAACGATAAAGAGAAAATATATGTTTCTTTTATCGAGATCTACCACCCCTTAAAATACTTGCACTTATTTCTGGGACACCCTGTATAACGAAGCGTTCCTGCACAATGATCCTGAACCTTCTCTCTATTATAACTCTAATTCTTTACAGTTAAGAGCAGCCTATCAGTCACAATCAGATGAAATAAGAAAATTGAAGAAACAACTCGCAAACAGTGAACACAGAGTGAGAGAACTGGAAGATCACATCAGAAGACTTACAGGAAAGTGAGCAATATCACAATTTTCTTTACAAAAAATTACATCACAAAAGCTTTTATATAGCCCAGTTTAAAAGAAAATTACACGAAAAATTTCGATGAAAATTGCTGCTTAATCATAGGCTTGAAGCGTTTCAAGAATATTTTTATTAGTACCTAAGAAAATTTGACACTTAGCCAAAAAAAGAAGTACTCTGTATATGTACAAAAAGGTAATATTTATTTTTGCGAAAGAGATATTTAGAGAGCTTATATAGAAAGTGATATTTTTCGTATCTATTGAGTTAGATATATTTTTTCATGCACAAATGAAATTTTTTTATAAAATTTCCATATTTACATATTTTTAAATGTTTTTTTTCTGTCAAAAATGCCCTATATTCTTGTATAATCGGACGATCGAAAAAAAAACGGCGTCGGAGTTGCCTGTTACATCGCTCTCATATTATACAGGGGGGCAAGGTCTGGCTTTGGTTGCCGATTTTCGTGTGTACAAAAAGAGTCAATACCAAGTATACCATGTCAGCGATGGTTATGAAATGGAGAACGCCGGTTTTTCTCGATCATACGTTATTTTTATAAACAAAATATGATATTTGAATTAAAAAAAATAGTAAAAATATTTCTCAATGACTTGACTAACGTTCACTTTAAATAAAATGTAGTGAAAATCAAGATCTAGTACTTGGCAACATTGTTGGGTGCCCGAGTAGACTAGTGGGACGTAGACGCTAGTGGCAAATACCGACACAAGACAAGAGATAAATTTATATGGTAAATATCATTGATTCTCACTTCCAAGCCAACTTGATGCTTTTTTTTTCGATCGTACGGTATTTTTTATTTGAAAGGCAGGTCCTCAGACGTTTTTGACAGTAAAGTGACAGTTAAAGTTACACAAATGACAGAAGACTTTTTACTTAAACCGTTATTTTTTACAATTGACAGCACATATTCCAAGGAAATAAATTATAAATAATGTAGTTAAAGTTTATTATACTATTTTTAAAGAAACGTCATAGTAAGTCTAGAAGTAACATTTCAGTTTGATCTATGTTTGTCGGTTTTTTAGTCTTTGTTAAATGTTAATCGAATGGTATTGATTACGTTTAAGAAAAAACGAAATGTAAAAAATTTAAATGAAAAAGTGACTATAGTAAACGCCACGAATGTTTGGGAGTGATTCATCGCTTGATGAAGTTGAATGAAGAATCGACACGTGCGCTATTATTTTTACATTAAAAACGTAATTTTTTACCGCAGACGTAGGTTTTTAAAGGCCCGGTCTAATCATCTACCTGCGCTCCTCCTACTTATTCTAGAATATTAGCGTGATTGACAAAGACGATACTATATCGCGTTTCTTTGATTGATTGGTTTTTGTGCGTCAGTCCATTGGTGTGCTTGCAGTGCGACCAATGGGGCATTCCAGTTTATATTTATAACCAAATATATGTTTTGACAAGACTTTGACAGTTAAAACAACAGATTATATATTGATTATTATATGACTTGAAACACCACGGCACTGGAATTAAGTTTTATGTGACCTTGAACAGATTAGTTCACATGGTAGCGACCCGTTCGCCTCTTCCCGCGCTTCAGCTGACAGTTGTGACGTCATTGTAGTCCTTGTCACAGCCTTCGTGGCCTTGTCATGTTAGTGTGTATTATTAGTTGCCTATGGTAAACTTATAAAAATAACAGCTGAGTAATTTTGAGTTAATTATTTTGTCAATTTTAAATGTGAAAAAGGTGTCTTTAAAGTTTTTAGAGCTATAGAGTGTATAAATACGTTCATTTTGTGTTGTGGATTGTGACAAAGTGCATACTAAGTGCCCACGATTTTGTTTATTAATTATTTTAAAGTAAAATATGGAAGTACGCTAAAAAGAATGCTTGCAAAAGGTGATGCTAGGAACTGCTGTTCTTAAAAATGCATTATCCGAGTATTTAATACGATTTATACAGTTCATTTTCTATACTGCATATATATAAGGTGTTTAAATAAATAAACTAAATAATGAACTTTTTGCATTCGGTAACCAATAATGCACGTGTGTGTATTATTGGTTGCCGGATAAGGACTAATAACCACGACAAGGGCTACAATGACGTCACAAAGCGAGTAGTTTTCGCATGCACCTGGCGGACACTTTTGGCTGAATGAGCAGTCCTATTAGGTTAACTGTTCTTGGTAGCGACCGATGAATCACTCACAAACATTCGTGGCGTTGACTATATCAGCTATCACTATTAGGGACTACTATGACGCTTTTTTTATTTAATCAAATTAAATAAAAATTTAATTATTTTTAATTTTTTTTTAATCTTTAAAGGTTAAAATTATTTTTTTTTAAATAAGGAAAAAAAGTATAAGAATTTTGTATGTTATTTTATTTTAGAATGATTTGTTAATTTTCTATCTTTATATATTTATATTATAACTTAAGAGAAAATCTTTTTAGATCTTTATGGCCAAACTATTCAGATTTTTTTTATTAATTGCTCTTTACAGTTATTTGTTATACATAATATATTATATCTTTTTCGGCATAGAAAATTTGTAAAATATAAAAAAATAAATGAATTATTTGAAGTGAATAATTTTTAAATCAGAACGCTTTATTACTATTAATTCTTAGAGATAATGATCCTTCATCAGTATTATTTATTAAAATATAAATATATTTTTAGGGTATACACCTTTGGAAATAAAATTATATTAAATCATACTGCCCTTTTTTCAAATATTTTTAATTAATAAATTATGAATTCAGAAATGTATTAATACATTCCGTTATTTTTTTCTTTATTATTCAAATATTCTGCCAAATATAGCTTGTATTGTTACAAAGTGCTCCAAATAAATAAATTTTCAACAGAGTTAAGTATTTTTAACATTTTTTTATACATTTTTTTTTTCAGGTGATAAATAGTAAAAACTATGGTAATATCATTGACTTATACCTATAACAAAGATAGACTAACCATATAATGTACACTGGATCTGTGTTCTGTGTCTACAAAAGGAATCTCAAGAATGCATACACGATATTAGAGTATGATCAATTTTCTACAAAACATTTAAATAAACGATATATTTTATATATCGCTACTTATACCGGGTGTTTCTCTAAAGTGGCTCACCTCTATAACTTTTTTATTTATTTTTCAGATAAAAAAACGAGATTTGGTATATTAGATTTGGTAATTATAATCCCCACCATATTATATGGGAGCGAAACCTGGGTGTCGTACCGCCGACACCTGAACGCATTAAACAAGTTGCAACAGAGACACCTTAGACAACTCTTAAGAATCCGATAGTTCCATCATGTTTCAAACGTATCGGTCCTTGAAAAAGCTAACTGCGAGAGTATTGAAGTCATGGTTACAAAGTCCCGCTTAAGATGGGCTGGTCCCGTATGCAGAATGCAAGAAAACTGCAGAATGAGTGGGAAGAAACAGCTTACAATAGAACTCAATGGAGAAGAATTGTAAACTCAGTTAACAGCGACAACCAAAAAGTAAAGAGGCAACAAAGCAATGAGATTTTTGAATGTCCGGAGTGCGATAGGCAGATAACATCACGTATCGGGCTTTTCAGTCACAGAAAAGCTCATGAAAGAAAACGCCATGTGTGACCATCTTCTGATGAGTGTCAAATACTCGTCAGCGAGTAATCGCAGTTTGTATGTATGTATGTATAGTAGGATTGATTGAAGATTGAAGCATTCAATTGTTTTCATTCACTTCCTGTTTCACCGTAAATTAGTACAACTTTTGATTTTTAAATGGTACCCTTGGTATTTTTTTACTTTATTTGATAGAAAATGACACTCTGGATAGAATGACATATCATATGTCAACTTTTGACATATTCGCTTACAAAAAAATCTTATTTTAAATTTCAATCTACAGTATGTCCCCGGATTGTCTTTACTAGAGGAAAAACTTTTTATTATTGACATTTTGAGAAAAATTCATTCTCCAAAAAAAAATATTTTTGCTTGTTCTAAAATGGTTAATCCCATTTAAATTTTTCGAAATTTCCATATCGTTTGAGAAAATTAAAAAAAAACGCATAAAAATGTAGTTTTTTTTTCAAGAGCACCATTACAATTTGTTATAAACCATATGCAAAAATGCCAAAAGTTGATATATGATATGTCATTCTATTCAGAGCCTCATTTAAAAAAGTAATTTCCGGTGAAACAGGAAGCGACACAAAACAATTGAATACGTCAATCAATCTTGAACTATGTCATATGCTAATTTTTTATCTGAAAAAAATAAAAAGATATAGGCGTGAGCCACTTTTGAGAAACACCCGCTATACACGCGGCAGAGAGTCCACGTGGACTTGACGAGTGTGTCACCGCAAAACACATTCACCGACCGCTCATTACATTGGCCACTTGCAAATTTGCCGTATTTTTATTGACGGAATGCATCGCCTATTTTTTTACAAGAACCGTAGTAACACGAGCTTGGAGAACAGTTCAGTAGTTATCGGTAAAATAGTTGCGTGAAACTGATTTGGTATTTTTGAAATTTTTGTATAAGTAATCATATTTAAAATATTTATAGCACGCCCTTGAATTGCTCGCCAAAGCTTCATTCAGAACCTCGCAATTAGTGGAATAAATTAGTGGTTTCAATTAGCCTAGAAGTTTGTTCCTTTAATTTCAATGTAAACATTCAGAACGTCTAAATTAGTGGTAGTCATTTTCAATTAGTAGAAAAAGTTAAGAATCTTTTGACTTTTCCACTAATTATACTTCAAAATTTGCGATTTAAAAAAGAAAGAGCGAGATTTAAATTTAGAAAGAGCGCTTGGTGTAATTAATCCGCAAATTACGTCAGGCGGTAACGTTATTAGCGGGTGTTCCGTTGACTCGCGCATATCGTAACCATGATAAGGTACGCGTAAATACTGGATGACGCTATTCGGTTTTCTGATATCTCTCTAATAACTGTGCCGGCCAGGCGCTGTGCACAATTTTAGAGGCCATAAGTGGGCGTACTATGTGCGCAAACTAGTCACCTAACTAGTGCCCGATTCCGAAAATTGGAACCACGAAAAACAATAAAGAAAAAACAAAGATTATAATCTGTATAATCTGTGATAATAATATCAATCACATGGACTCCGCGTCGACCGCCAAACGACCCATTCGTGGACCTACTATTATTTACGTAGGAAGTAGAGTGCGATATGCTTCCGCTTCTAGTTTGAGACGACCCGTGTGTGCACGGTCTTACAGAGAATTTTGTTTCCCCCCTTACGGATGCACTGTTGCTACGAACGGATCGACGTACTGTACAGGGTGTCCTGTTTTAGTTGAAAACATAAAAAAACAAATTTAAAGATATGAAAAAAAATTTTTTTAAAGATATGAACTAAAGTTATATTTTCATAATTAGAACACCCTGTATATTTATAAATTATATGATCTGGCATGCCATAAGCTTCTCAAAAATATACATATACCACTCTATATTTTTTTATTTTCACTATTTACTGCAATATTTAAAAGTTTTTATTAAAAGATCAGGTTTATTAGTAGGCCATGATTGATAATAAAAGAAAATAAAGAATTGTTAAAAGTATACTGCTATTTGTCTATTGTTTTATTTTGGGAGCCACTAATAAATACTTATATATCAGGGATTCTCTACCGCTATGCGCTATTTGCAAATCTTGGAAGCTAACATACCGGAACTTTTAGACATTCCTTTTGCTAATTTACGTGAAATATACCGTATGAAGCAATGGCTATGAAATGAAGATCGCTGTCATTTTATATGTAATGTCATCGATCGTCATTTCCCAGCCAACCGGACGCCGTTTTTTTCTTCGATCATACGGTGCTTTCAGCAAGATGGGTCTCCCCCTCACAACTTTGAAAATATTAGAATTTTGTTAAATTATCATTTCTCAAATCAATGAATTGGAACCAATGGAACCATATGATGGCCTCCCTGAGTCCCGGATTTGCTGTTCTCTATTTCTGATTTTGGGGATTTTTGAAATATGAAATATATCGTAGCAACTAACACAATGTCGAACACCTGGAAAATGCTTTTAGATATTTGCAAACCCGTTATAATAAATTGCGTGATAAAAAAAGAAAAATAAACTCAGAGATTTAGGGGTAACATTTGAAAAGTAAAATATGTATATCAATCCCAAATAAAATTGTAATATGCGTATGACTATTTTATTACAGTTGAGGGTTGGAACCTTTGGTGTTTCACAGCAAAATAAAAACACTAAATCACCACAATACACCAAAACACTTTTACTTTTACACTGGACGCGCGTTTCGCTAACCATGTTAGCATCATCAGCAGATGATTATAAACTTCTACATTCAGTTTATAATCATCTGCTGATGATGCTAACATGGTTAGCGAAACGCGCGTCCAGTGTAAAAGTAAAAGTGTTTTGGTGTATTGTGGTGATTTAGTGTTTTTATTTTGCTATGACTATTTTAGTAAATACTATTTTAACTTTTTTGTTATTTATCACGGCTTACTAATAAAAAAATGATATACAGGGTGGTCCGAACTGTATTCCGGAAACTTCGGCAGCATATTCTGCAGATAAAAATAAATAAAAAAGTTCGTGTAAATGTATGTCCTAAAATGCTTAGTTTCGGAGATAAGGGTGTAGAAGTTTCATTTTTATTTCAATTTTTTCCAAATAATTTCTGAAGTAACGTCAATATTTGGATGAAAATTGGTGTCTGGAAGTTTTTTGACATGAGGAATTTGATTTTGATGTCAATATGACTCCTACTAGTAGAGGGCGCCACCTACATATTTTTTAACTGGTTTGAAGAGTAATAACTTTTTGTCCGTACCTGTATAAAACTACTGAGTAAAAAAATACGACGTTTTTTATGTGAAGAAGGTCTTGGTAAAAATCGCTACGAGTATCTAATGGTTTTCGAGATATTTGGAATCGAAATTATCAGTACCTGTCATCCTTGACATAAATTAAACATGTTGACTAAATAGTTATTAGACTGAAATCATAAATTTGAAAAGTTCTTGTGCCAAAAGTTCAACAGAAACTGTTTTATCATCATTTGTTGCAGAAAATTTTATGATTAATTTAAAAAATAAAAATTTCGCAAATTTATTATTTCAGTGAAATAACTATCTACTCAACGTGTTTATTTTTCGTCAATAATGACATGTATTGTCTATTTCCATTCTAAATATCTTAAGAACGGTTGCTCGTAGCGATTTTTACCAAGGGATATTTTTTACGTAAAAAGTCACAGAGATGTATATTTTTTCGGTCGGTAGTGTTATACAGGTACGAACAAAAAGTTATTACGCTTCAAAACAGTTAAAACACATGTAGGTGGCGCCCTCTACTAGTAGGAGTCATATTGACACCAAAATCAAATTTCTCAATGCAAAAAATACCAATTTTCATCCAAATATTGACGTTACTTCAGAAATTATTTAGAAAAAATCGAAATAAAAATGAAACTACTACACCCTGTATCTCTGAAAGTAAGCATTTTAGGACATACATTTATACGAACTTTTTTTACTTATTTTTATCTGCAGAATATGCTGCCGAAGTTTCCGGAATACAGTTCGGACCACCCTGTATTTTAAATATTGCAGAAAATAGTGAAAATAAAAATATTAAAGTGAAATATATTTTTGAGAAGCTCTTAGCAAGACGGATCATATGATTTATAAATATACAGGGTGTTCCATTTGAAAAAAACATAACTTTAGTTCATATTTTCAAAAAAAAAATCGTAGAAAAGCAGACTACGCCACTGTATTCTACGTAAAAAGTTCTGCAAGAATCAGTTTTCACCTTCTCGATATCATCCACAATAACGGAGATACGGGGGCTGTCCCAAATTGCTAAAATTTCGAGAAGACCCTGTAGCTTGGAAACGAAAAGGGCTATGAAAATTTTGTTTACAGCATCTTTCATTTGACAAAAAAGTGGGACAGGTTTGTGTAAACGGCATCTTATATATCTTTACTAATAACGGAGATACCGTATGATTTCAACCAAAATTAGACACCCTGTACAATTTAAGGGCGATCTTCGTATAATCGGAAATAGAACATGAAACAGAAAATTGCATGCCAGCGCGTGCTAAATATCCTGAGTCATTTCAACTACTAGGGGCTACTGTAACGCCGTTTTTTCCAGAACTACTTTTTGTTTATTATTAATAAAGTATACTACTACCAAAAACAGAGCTTTTAATGAAACAAAACAAGTAGAATTTTTCAGTAGAATCTATTTATTTTTAAGACACTATTTTTCATGTATAAATATATAAAATTAGGTACAAAAACATAAATTTGTTGTTGAAATAAGTAAAATATCACTATTGGAATAATACCAGGACGGAATATGATAAATACTTTTGAACTATCATCACACAAAAACGTCTTTAATATCGCACAATGTCAATTATTTAAAGAAAGAACTTGTGTATTAAGACACAAATAGTTAGTACTGAAATCAAGTACAAACTTGACGACCTAATGCTAGATGTATTGCAGCCATCTCCTGTACAAGTGTACACACAGGACCTGTATGTTAGTATATCTCCTGGATTTTTCACGTACTGACAGTAGTTTCCTAAATCTACTGAAGAACAATACCTCTTGGTACCTATTCCTCCTAAAAAACACATTCGTTTTTAAATTTGTTCTTGAAAAATTTTAACACAATTTTATGTTAGCCTCACTACCATCTAAATATATATGTATAGAGGGTGTTATCAAGGTAAAACAAAGCTACATTTTAGAGGGCAAAAATTTTATATAAGAAGTTCATACAGGGCGACCCAGTTTTCCAAAACGGTAAAAATCCCAAACCAGAAACCTTTTTTTGAGGGGGGATATTTTTTGGGGCCACCCTGTAGTGTCTAATTGTGTTATTGCAACTGACTAACAATCAATGTTATTCATATATCAGGGCACATCTAAGCTTATTTATAGCATTTTACTTTAAGAAACACTATACAGGGTGTCAAAAAAATAGTTTATCTAACTTTGATGGGCGATTCTACAAAATAAAAACATAAAAAAGTACTAGCTTTAATTCTCATTTGTTGAAATTACTGTATATATAAGGACAAAAGAAGTAACACCAGTAGTACTATCTACCCTAATGGAAAGTACCCCTTCAGGGCTGTTACAGAATTCTACACTATCGCCATTCGCTTCAGCATTAAGATGTGTTAGAGTATCAAATTTCAAGAAAAACTGTTTACCAATGGTCTTAAAAATAAACAAAATATACTATTTTTATTTACCCTTGGGAGGGCTGTAACTTCTTCGGGAAGCATTTTAGGGTATATGTTCATAGGATTTTTTTGTTTTATATTTATCTGTAGAATCACCCACCGAAGTTAGATACACTATAATTATTTATTAAAAAAGCAATACCAGTTAAAAATTGTGCTTCTAAAACAAGATTACATGCAAAAGTGCTAAAAAACTATCAAGCGATGTTCCACCAAAAAAGTTAAAGGCATTAGTACCCCCCAAACCAGTAGACTTGATGCAATATTGGGCATCGTACACATGGTCACAGCTCTGTGGTTCTATGGAATCCGTGTGAATTACTGAGTCAGTACAACTGATATTCTCAGACCCTGAACACTGATAGCACTTTATACACCAGCCTGTTTAGTAAATAATGTTAGTTTTGGTTAAAAAAAGATAGTTTAGGGAAGAATTATAGGTAGGTTAATAACAGATACTTTATCGATTTAGTTAAAACAGTTAGATGCCAAGAAATTGCGATATTTGTACCTTCGAAACGACCTGTATGTTTAATACAGTATTTAGCATCGTATACCTTGTCACAGGACTCAGGTTTAATATCTATATCAGAACTGAGCCACTCGTTACATTGAAATGGCCTCAGAGGATTGCTTCCGTTACATTGAAAACAGTTAAGAGCTAATGCTATAAATTTGTATAAAACAAACATTTTAACTCTTAATATATTTTATTTATTTAATACCAACTAAATTAAAGTAGTAGATTTTAACATAAAACGAAATTGTAGTTTTATTTTCGAATTTGGATACTTACAAGTGTCAAAGAGCGATAGCAAACTTGCAACTATCAGAATAATTGTTTTCCAGATCATTTTCAGTCAAATTATTAAGTTTAATAAGTTTTCCAATCAATATAAAACCACACCCTTTTAAATAGTCTTAATTTTGTAATTGTAAACAAAATAAAGTTGTTTTCGTGTTGATTTTAACCTAATTCTTATTTTTTTTCTGGCAATTGCTATGCATATAAACCATAATCAAAGACCATGTTTGTCGGCCTTGTGGTCGAAATGATTGCGCCGCATTCTAGTAGACGCAAGGTCGCCGGTTCGATTCCGGCCTCGGACATGGGTGTTAAATGTGTGTGTGAGTCTGTATTTGTCCGATTTTAAACGCTAATTAAATATTAAGAAATAAGCTGGCTGAATGTCGTAACCAGGTCGTAACAGGCAAGTGGCCAAAAATAGGAAAAAAAAAAAAAAAAGACCATGAACGATATAAACTAACAATGATTCTATCGAATCTATGGTGTCTTGTTTTGTGTCTATTTGCTGCAATTGCTCATAGATAAGATGCATGAAGCCCATATTTGCTGCATTTGATCATTGATACTACGCAAGCGCACATTGTCGATTTTGCTAAATTGCAGTTTATTTTCGAATTTCGCGGTTCAAATGTTTTTTTGAGTGTTAATCAGAATCAGTAATAGTACAAATTCTATAATTAATTTTATATAGTTTCAGATTTATCTTGATGTCAAAAATTAAGGTAAGAAGGATAATGGAGATTGTGAAGCTAAGGTATTATGATTATAATCGGAGTTGTAAGTAATATAATATTGTAATAATAATATACTATTTATTTATATATTTTTACATTTGAACTAAAAATTATCATTTACGGATTTTTTCTTATATTAGAATTATTTTGTATCATCAATATGACACCTTATTTTTTACCTACATCCAAGTTGTTTAATTTCTAGTTATTTAATTACAGCTAACAAATAATAGTAACAATAGTTTTGATTATATCAATTATGTGTCCGTATATTGAAGTACCGAAAAAAAACGGCGTCCAGTTGGCTTGAAAATGACAATCGATGACATTCCCCATATAATTTTACATATAAAATGACAGCGATGTTCATTTCATAGCCAGCGCTGACGCAGTTTTTTCTTCGATCATACGGTATTGTCGGTATTGCCGCATGACGAGTCTTACAGCACAATACAAGTCAGTGAGATAGAGGTAACATTTTTTACCTGGTTTGATTATAGTGTTTGTATCATATAATTTCTTAAAAATATCAAGTTAGAAGATTAATAGCAATTGTAGGAATATATCTTATCGATGAATGCTGATAAATTAGAATAAGCTTTATGTTTTATCTTTTTCTCTTTAGAAGGGATATGGTTTGTGTCGTAGAATACATTACAGTATCTATATAATATCCTGTACTTTGATATTCTTTTCTTAATTTACGGTAATTTCTTTCCAAGATCTTGATAATATGGTGAAGGTTCATTTTTGAGCTTATCAGATTTAAATTTATACACAGACCAACTTAAGACTTAAGTTAGTTTGTGATTTATATCAAGATATTTCTTATATTTTTTTTATATCTTATCTACCACATATTATGATTTGTGATGTGGAGAATAAATTTTAAGTTATCTTAAAACTTGCATATCCTTCCATTAGGAAAAATATTGTTTATAAATCATATATGCTAAGAAAATCACATAAATTAGGTGTAAGAATAGAAAAATCTTAAGGTAGCAGAAAAATTAATGCAATATATGTATAAGCAGAATTAAACAAGGTATCTATATTAATATTGCAGATTCTACAGTTATAATTACGGGGACTAAAAGGCATTTTTTAGGCCTACGTAATTTTAATGTAATGTTATAAAACCTGTTATGAACATGATATGGAGCTATACAGCATTTAAAAATTAAAAAAAAGAAGAATCTTGGACACGCCTCTTTTAGTTTTCTGAATTTTTCATAAATCACTTTTTAAGCGTAGAATAATAATCTAGAGCAATTAGATTAATTATAGCAATCTAGAGTTTTATTTCTATTTAATTTTATTGATTATAAAAATACATAATAAGTGTTCACGTGTTGTGCGAAGTTTTAAAATAATAATATAAATAATACCTTTATTATATAAATTATATTTAATAATGCCTTATACCGCACTGTTTTTTTGGCCCCTTTTTCCGCTACTCGTATTTTTGTTCATTTAATAAATAATACCGTTTAATCCAAAAAAAAATGACATTAGCGCGATGATTATGAAATGAAGATCGCTGTCATTTTATATGTAAATTTATATAGAAAATGTCATCGATCGTCATTTCCCAACCAAATGGACGCCGATTTTATGGAAAGCACTGTTCATTATAATGTTGTATTCTATGTTATAGGGCTTGTTTCTCTCTACAATTTCCTGTTTCACAATGTACCGTTTGTGTCCGGGAAGGGTTCATAGTTTCATAGTTGTCGATTTTCGAAAGAAATCGGTACATTTATTTTATTTCGTATATTTTTCATTTTATTGATTTTATAGAAAGCACTGTTCATTAAAATGTTGTATCTTATGTTATAGGGTTTGTTTCTCTCTATAATTTCCTGTCTCACAATGTGGGGAAGGGTTCATAGTTTCATAGTTGTCGATTTTCGAAAGAAATCAGTACCTGTATATTATTTCCTATATTTTTCATTTTATTGATTTTATGGAAGGCACTGTTCATTAAAATGTTGTAACCTATGTTATAGGGCTTGTTTCTCTCTACAATTTCCTGTCTCACAATATACCGTTTGTGTCCAGGAAGGATTCATAGTTTCATAGAAAGCACTGTTCATTAAAATGTTGTATCCTATGTTATAGGACTTGTTTCTCTCTACAATATCCTGTCTCACAATGTACCGTTTGTGACCAAGAAGGGTTCATAGTTTCATAGATGTCTATTTTCGAAAGAAATCAGTACATGTATATTATTTATTCCTATATTTTTTCATTTTATTGATTTTATGGAAAGCACTGTTCATTAAAATGTTGTATCCTATGTTATAGGGCTTGTTTCTCTCTACAATTTCCTGTCTCACAATGTACCGTTTGTGTCCAGGAAGGGTTCATAGTTTCATAGAAAGCACTGTTCATTAAAATGTTGTATCCGTTAGAGGGCTTGTTTCTCTCTACAATATCCTGTCTCACAATGTACCGTTTGTGTCCAGGAAGGGTTCATAGTTTCATAGATGTCTATTTTCGAAAGAAATCAGTACCTGTATATTATTTCCTATATTTTTCATTTTATTGATTTTATGGAAGGCACTGTTCATTAAAATGTTATAGGGCTTGTTTCTCTCTACAATTTCCTGTCTCACAATGTACCGTTTGTGTCCAGGAAGGATTCATAGTTTCATAGAAGTCGATTTTCGAAAGAAATCAGTACATGTATATTATTTATTCCTATATTTCTCATTTATTGATTTTATGGAAAGCACTGTTCATTAAAATGTTGTATCCTATGTTATAGGGCTTGTTTCTCTACAATTTCCTGTCTCACAATGTATCGTTTGTGTCCAGGAAGGGTTCATAGTTTCATAGTTGTCGATTTTCAAAAGAAATCAGTACCTGTATATTATTTCCTATATTTTTCATTTTATTTATTTTATGGAAAGCACTGTTCATTAAAATGTTGTATCCTATGTTATAGGGCTTGTTTCTCTCTACAATTTCCTGTCTCACAATATACCGTTTGTGTCCAGGAAGGGTTCATAGTTTCAAAGTTGTCGATTTTCGAAAGAAATCAGTACCTGTATATTATTTCCTATATTTTTCATTTTATTGATTTTATGGAAGGCACTGTTCATTAAAATGTTATAGGGCTTGTTTCTCTCTACAATTTCCTGTTTCGGAATGTACCGTTTGCGTCCGGGAACGGTTCATAGTTTCATAGTTGTCGATTTTCGAAAGAAATCGGTACATTTATTTTATTTCGTATATTTTTCATTTTATTGATTTTATAGAAAGCACTGTTCATTAAAATGTTGTATCTTATGTTATAGGGTTTGTTTCTCTCTATAATTTCCTGTCTCACAATGTGGGGAAGGGTTCATAGTTTCATAGTTGTCGATTTTCGAAAGAAATCAGTACCTGTATATTATTTCCTATATTTTTCATTTTATTGATTTTATGGAAGGCACTGTTCATTAAAATGTTGTAACCTATGTTATAGGGCTTGTTTCTCTCTACAATTTCCTGTCTCACAATATACCGTTTGTGTCCAGGAAGGATTCATAGTTTCATAGAAAGCACTGTTCATTAAAATGTTGTATCCTATGTTATAGGACTTGTTTCTCTCTACAATATCCTGTCTCACAATGTACCGTTTGTGACCAAGAAGGGTTCATAGTTTCATAGATGTCTATTTTCGAAAGAAATCAGTACATGTATATTATTTATTCCTATATTTTTCATTTTATTGATTTTATGGAAAGCACTGTTCATTAAAATGTTGTATCCTATGTTATAGGGCTTGTTTCTCTCTACAATTTCCTGTCTCACAATGTACCGTTTGTGTCCAGGAAGGGTTCATAGTTTCATAGAAAGCACTGTTCATTAAAATGTTGTATCCGTTAGAGGGCTTGTTTCTCTCTACAATATCCTGTCTCACAATGTACCGTTTGTGTCCAGGAAGGGTTCATAGTTTCATAGATGTCTATTTTCGAAAGAAATCAGTACCTGTATATTATTTCCTATATTTTTCATTTTATTGATTTTATGGAAGGCACTGTTCATTAAAATGTTATAGGGCTTGTTTCTCTCTACAATTTCCTGTCTCACAATGTACCGTTTGTGTCCAGGAAGGATTCATAGTTTCATAGAAGTCGATTTTCGAAAGAAATCAGTACATGTATATTATTTATTCCTATATTTCTCATTTATTGATTTTATGGAAAGCACTGTTCATTAAAATGTTGTATCCTATGTTATAGGGCTTGTTTCTCTCTACAATTTCCTGTCTCACAATGTATCGTTTGTGTCCAGGAAGGGTTCATAGTTTCATAGTTGTCGATTTTCAAAAGAAATCAGTACCTGTATATTATTTCCTATATTTTTCATTTTATTTATTTTATGGAAAGCACTGTTCATTAAAATGTTGTATCCTATGTTATAGGGCTTGTTTCTCTCTACAATTTCCTGTCTCACAATATACCGTTTGTGTCCAGGAAGGGTTCATAGTTTTCAAAGTTGTCGATTTTCAAAGAAATCAGTACCTGTATATTATTTCCTATATTTTTCATTTTATTGATTTTATGGAAGGCACTGTTCATTAAAATGTTATAGGGCTTGTTTCTCTCTACAATTTCCTGTCTACCGTTTGTGTCCAGGAAGGGTTCATAGTTTCATAGAAAGCACTGTTCATTAAAATGTTGTATCCGTTAGAGGGCTTGTTTCTCTCTACAATATCCTGTCTCACAATGTACCGTTTGTGTCCAGGAAGGGTTCATAGTTTCATAGATGTCTATTTTCGAAAGAAATCAGTACCTGTATATTATTTCCTATATTTTTCATTTTATTGATTTTATGGAAGGCACTGTTCATTAAAATGTTATAGGGCTTGTTTCTCTCTACAATTTCCTGTCTCACAATGTACCGTTTGTGTCCAGGAAGGGTTCATAGTTTCATAGAAAGCACTGTTCATTAAAATGTTGTATCCGTTAGAGGGCTTGTTTCTCTCTACAATATCCTGTCTCACAATGTACCGTTTGTGTCCAGGAAGGGTTCATAGTTTCATAGATGTCTATTTTCGAAAGAAATCAGTACCTGTATATTATTTCCTATATTTTTCATTTTATTGATTTTATGGAAGGCACTGTTCATTAAAATGTTATAGGGCTTGTTTCTCTCTACAATTTCCTGTCTCACAATGTACCGTTTGTGTCCAGGAAGGGTTCATAGTTTCATAGAAAGCACTGTTCATTAAAATGTTGTATCCGTTAGAGGGCTTGTTTCTCTCTACAATATCCTGTCTCACAATGTACCGTTTGTGTGTCCAGGAAGGGTTCATAGTTTCATAGATGTCTATTTTCGAAAGAAATCAGTACCTGTATATTATTTCCTATATTTTTCATTTTATTGATTTTATGGAAGGCACTGTTCATTAAAATGTTATAGGGCTTGTTTCTCTCTACAATTTCCTGTCTCACAATGTACCGTTTGTGTCCAGGAAGGGTTCATAGTTTCATAGAAAGCACTGTTCATTAAAATGTTGTATCCGTTAGAGGGCTTGTTTATTCTCTACAATATCCTGTCTCACAATGTACCGTTTGTGTCCAGGAAGGGTTCATAGTTTCATAGATGTCTATTTTCTCAAAGAAATCTACCTGTATATTATTTCCTATATTTTTCATTTTATTGATTTTATGGAAGGCACTGTTCATTAAAATGTTATAGGGCTTGTTTCTCTCTACAATTTCCTGTCTCACAATGTACCGTTTGTGTCCAGGAAGGGTTCATAGTTTCATAGAAAGCACTGTTCATTAAAATGTTGTATCCGTTAGAGGGCTTGTTTCTCTCTACAATATCCTGTCTCTCACAATGTACCGTTTGTGTCCGGGAAGGGTTCATAGTTTCATAGATGTCTATTTTCGAAAGAAATCAGTACCTGTATATTATTTCCTATATTTTTCATTTTATTGATTTTATGGAAGGCACTGTTCATTAAAATGTTATAGGGCTTGTTTCTCTCTACAATTTCCTGTCTCACAATGTACCGTTTGTGTCCAGGAAGGGTTCATAGTTTCATAGAAAGCACTGTTCATTAAAATGTTGTATCTGTTAGAGGGCTTGTTTCATTCTTTTACAATATCCTGTCTCACAATGTACCGTTTGTGTCCAGGAAGGGTTCATAGTTTCATAGATGTCTATTTTCGAAAAGAAATCAGTACCTGTATATTATTTCCTATATTTTTCATTTTATTGATTTTATGGAAGGCACTGTTCATTAAAATGTTATAGGGCTTGTTTCTCTCTACAATTTCCTGTCTCACAATGTACCGTTTGTGTCAGGAAGGATTCATAGTTTCATAGAAGTCGATTTTCGAAAGAAATCAGTACATGTATATTATTTATTCCTATATTTCTCATTTATTGATTTTATGGAAAGCACTGTTCATTAAAATGTTGTATCCTATGTTATAGGGCTTGTTTCTCTCTACAATTTCCTGTCTCACAATGTATCGTTTGTGTCCAGGAAGGGTTCATAGTTTCATAGTTGTCGATTTTCAAAAGAAATCAGTACCTGTATATTATTTCCTATATTTTTCATTTTATTGATTTTATGGAAAGCACTGTTCATTAAAATGTTGTATCCTATGTTATAGGGCTTGTTTCTCTCTACAATTTCCTGTCTCACAATATACCGTTTGTGTCCAGGAAGAGTTCATAGTTTCAAAGTTGTCGATTTTCGAAAGAAATCAGTACTTGTATATTATTTCCTATATTTTTCATTTTATTGATTTTATGGAAAGCATGTCTGATGAACCTCCAACAGACTACATAGTAACAGAGGAGCCCTAGATGATTTAGACAAGGTCTGGGAGCTGCTCGACGATAAATTGGATCTTAAATTAAGTACAACCTAGAAGGGCATTCACATTAGGTGTGGTATCAGTTGCCATGAGTCACAATGAAAAATGTAAGTACTTAGGTCTATACACAGATAAAGTTTTGTTTAATATTATTGCTTTTGGTGTGCTGCTCGAACTCATTAGATTCGTCAATGAGAATATGGGACCTAGAAAAATGAGAAAAAATTGCGAATATTGATGTGGGACCTGTAGATCTCTGGACGGTTGCGTTCAGTCCGGACAATATACACATCATTTCTGGAAGCCACTCGGGCAAAATCACTCAGTATAGCGTTGAAACCGCAGCGGTAGAACAGTCATTTGACACCAGAGGAAAATTTACTCTGAGCATTGCTTACGTGAGTGAACCAATTAGTAAACCATTACTGTTTATGTTAGAATTAATATGTTTATATATATTTTTTTAGAGTACCGATGGACAGTACATAGCTAGTGGTTTTATTAAAATTTTTGACGTTGCTACTAACAAATTATGGCACACTCTAGAGAGTCACGCTATGCCAATATCAGGTATAGTCTGTAAAACGAATAACTTTGAATTTGACAGTTCCCGCGGGCTTTTCTAGTGTTAATTTTATTAAGTTAGCAACTTGCGGTCATGCTGACGCAATGCCGTCTCTAATAGAACAGCCTCAGAGCGAGATTTATGACGTCACGCTAGTTAGGTACTACGGAGTAATAAATATGTTGTAGAATACATGGAAAACATAATTATTCCTCGTATTTTTTTTTGTATTTTAATAATGATATAGTTTACATGAAATATACATAATATACAGTTAATAAATACAATATATATACGTATTTATAGTAATAAATACTTTGGCAGATAAACTATGAACCATACAAATGCAGCAAATGTTTTACAATATGGCTGAAATCGTACTCCATAGTCAATGTATATAGTTTTTGTGTTAAGAATAATAATTTAAAAAAAATATGTGGTCATCTTTTGACAAGTTTATATTAGTTTATTAATTGCAGTAAACATTATACTATATAAATAAATTTTGTGAATGCAAATAATAATACATCACTATTAGTAGATATTGAATGTTTTTTGTTAAATTAGATCGATTTTGAAACCCCAAAATTTAAAATATATTTTACATTTTACCCATTATCTTATGTACTACCTATTCATTATTTGTATATTTTAAAACATTTGCTGCATTTGTATGGTTCATAGTTTTATTTGCCAAAGTATTTATTACAATAAATAGGTATATATTATATTGTATTTATTAACTGTGTATTATATATATTTCATGTAAACTATATCATTTTTAAAATACAAACCAAAAATATGAGGAATAATTATGTTTTCCATGTATTCTACAACATATTTATTAATCCGTAGTATCTAACTAGCGTGACGTCATAAATCTCGCTCCGTGGCTGTTCTATTAGAGACGGCATTGGTCTAATATTTAGAAATGTCAAAAGCTGATGACGTTTTACTTTTGTCAATTATGACATTTCGTGTTGATTTTTGCAAGAAGAGGAAGAACTGTCACTTGTTTTATTATTTTCCTTTTCTATTTCACGAAAGTAAAAAGAGTTACCTATCCGATTCGTTCAGGCACTCAATTTAAAGAATATCAGTAACTTTTTTGACAGAGGGATTTTATATTTGCCATGTTGGTAAAAAATAACGGTCAAAATTCAAAGTTATTCATTTTATAGACTATATCTGTGTTTTTCTCCAGACAATCAGCTATTATTAACAGCCTCTGACGAAAGGGCATATAAAATTATATGATGTGTAAGTTAAAAATTAGTTAAACTAGCCTTTGTAACTCGTTTTTATCTATATTTTTTTTCACAGAAAACAGACCCATGTAATTGGAACGATATCTGCTCATGCCTCTTGGGTTTTAAATGTAGCATCTTCACCAGATGGAAAGTATTTTGTGTCTGCCAGTTCAGACAAGACGGTTATAGTATGGGAGGTTCAAAGCCGACAGTGTATTCACACCTTTTTTTTAAATATAATATTTTATTAAAAAAACTAAATTTTTAGTAATAAAGCCATTTTTAAATAAGATTTGTTTTTTAATAATGATATTTTATCTAAAAAAACATTGTTTCAGAAGACAAAAAGTATTGTAATATATAGTTGTCCTAAGTAATAAATGCTTTTTATCCTAATTTGTACTTATTAATATATTTTTTTCTTGTAAATAAGGGATTTTTCAGCTTAATTAAATTTCAAATTTGAAAATTGTGACGCCAAAAGTTGAACAGATACATCCGGTAAGAGCTGTCAACGTTGAGTCAAGTTAAAGACTTATGTTAAGTTATTTTTTATATAATTTATCTCATATTTCTTACTATTTAACTATATAGAATTAGTTTCATATTAAACTAAGGGATATTTATTGAATAAAAACACTTGTTCCTTGATAATTTGTAAAAATATTAAAGAAATGCATGATTTTATAGTTCATCTAATTATGTGCGTACCAGATAATTTCAATATAAAATAAGTTTTGTATGATATTTTATACTGGAGGGAATAAATACAAATAAACACAAATCATTTAATTAATTTAAGAAGCATATTCTACTGAAATTTTAATAAAAACCATCCATGTTTATTTAAAAAAGTTAAAATCGAGGCATCCAAGAGCAAAAAATACACGATCGTGATTGGTCAGTTTCGGTGGCGTGGAGGTTTTGAATTTTATTCTCGTTCGATGTTGCCGGATTGTTAAAAAATGTCGAAAATCTTTTTTTCTATGTGATTTTTGTGAAATTATAAGAGTTTAAATTGTACTAGCACACTTTAAATTACACTAGCACTATAGTAAAGACCATTTCTATATATTTTTAATAAAACAAGTACCAGTAATGTTGTTTTGTAGAAATTTATTTTATTTCTTCTTGTACTTACGTACTAACATTATAGTCTTTCTTCTTGGTTTCGATGTATTTATAGCATTAAAAATGTATTTAAACAGCTTCATTTTATGTTTATTTTATGATTTTTGTATGTTTATGTTTATAATTACTTATTTATTTTTATTTATGACAATAAAAATATTTTACCTTACGTAAAAAAAACGATTTCAGTGGAACATAGAGTAAATAATAACTTTTGAGAACGAAATTAAACTTAATTTACAAGAATTTTTCTATAAACAATTTTATTAGTAATAAATAGATTAAGTTTATGAGCAGCTTAAATTTTACGAATGACTTCAATCTGGCAACGTCGGTCCTATTTTGGTCGTTTGCAATTGAAGGATCTGGACGTCCTCCCGTCGGTTGCATCGATTTTTTAAATTTTCTGACGAAAAAGTGCATTTAGTGTACACAATTTATGCGTAATCTGTTACTAGTGCCCTGCTTAGCCTCCTGAAAAAGTGAGTACCCGTAATTTTATGTATTTTTTGAGATATTTTAGTTCAAAATTTTTGGATTTCGCAATATCCATCATGGCAGCCTTCTTCTCAATGTTCCCCATTAAGTTATTAATTTTTAAGAATATTGTTTAAATAATATACGTAGATTAATGAATAAGTATGTAAAACTAGGTATTTTCGGTACCTTTCTATACTGCATGTTACATAAGGGTAAAATAATAGTACTACATTTTTGGTAAATTACGTAATGTATCTTTGACTTTTTGTTTAATTTTTTCGGTCAAGGAATGTTTAAATAAAATGGCCGCCTGTTGGAATTCGATGTCTTGATTTTTTGTAAATTGCTATTTTTAATTTAAATTTCTTTTTATAGGGCATACTTAGAGTTTTCTTTATTTTTTAAAAATATGATATGCGCATTTTAATAATATTTTGAATGAGTAGGTTTTTTGTATTTAAGTTTTAAATAGGTAGGTTCATAAAATATTTCGAAAACAGTAAGCATGATTATTTTGAGGTAAATTTTGACCAAATGTTTTTTGTCTTCATAGTAGAAACTAAAAATGTAATAAAATATATAGGATGTCTCATTGTTAAAAAAATATAACTTTAATATTTTTTATTTATTTGAAACACTGGAGGTTTAACTTTTAGCTCTAAATAATATGTTACAACTCTAAAAACTCCTTGTGTATTTTTATTTTTTTTATATGTTACATCATGGAAAAATTCTTTGGATTTTGACCATATTCATCAAATTTATATCCCTTTTTTCCCTAGATCATATAACATCTTTATATTATTGACATTTTTGGTATAATAATCAAGGAAAAATCTTATAAAATATTGCTCTGAGGTATAAATGGAGCATCTCTTTTTTCATTTAAAATAAATATACCTGTTTATATATTGTCGTAATATTTTTATAGGTGTTCGATAATATTTTTATCAGGGTTGGCATGATATATATCAATGATATATATCGGATATATATCATTGATATATATTATGATATTTATACCCTGATATATATCATGATATTTATAAAAAAAATAAAACTCAATAATCAGAAAGAAAAAAACAAAAAAGATAATATTGATTGGATCTAGGACAATTCAAATCTACCAAAAACTTTGCAAGAAACAGTACCAATTGACTCTGACGAATCTGACGATGATTTACCATTAATAAAATTAATAAATCAAATATAAATTTGTTTGTTGTTAGTTTTAGAATATCTGTTTATTTTTTTGACTTTCCATTTATTTTTTAGAATTTCAGTTTATTTCTTAGAATTGTTGTTTATTTTTTAGAATTTCTGTTTATTTTTTAGAATTCCTGTTTATTTTTTAGAAGTTCTGTTTATTTTTTAGAATTCCTGTTTATTTTTTAAAATTCCTCTTTATTTTTTAGAAGTTCTGTTTATTTTTTAGAATTTCTGTTTATTTTTTAGAATTCCTGTTTATTTTTTAGAATTTCTGTTTATCTTTTAGAATTCCTGTTTATTTTTAGAAGTTCTGTTTATTTTTTTAGAATTTCTGTATATTTTTTATATATTTTTGTTTTCATGTTGTTCCTATCATGTGCAAAGCAACAATTATTAAGTTGAAATAAAAATATTTTACTTGAGCTCTTGATTTTACTTGATACTAAACGCAGTTTTACATAAAAAGTAAAAACAAAAATAAATATCAAAACTTCATATATATATCGGATATCTATATGAGATATATATCCGATATTTGATATTTATATAAATATCGTGATATTTGTCAACCCTGATTCTTATAGGTATCCCAATATTTTTTCTTTTTTTAGGCGCGTTATATTAATACTACAACACCACACACTCCTTTCCCACTCACACGAGCATTGCTAGCTCTCTGTGTTGGTTAATAAAATTTCCTAATTCAACATTAGTGAATTTCGTTAGCTGATGCAGTTGGTTAACAGTGTTTTTGTCGGTGTGGATTCCCGGGCTTAAGATGACTCCAGAGCGCGGTGCGGCCTTCCCCAAGAGAGGAGACTTCTTGGGTCACCCCCTAACCCTGATGTTCGGGCATCGATGACCTGTGTAGCATGCAGAGGTACCCAAGGGAGTCACCACCCTCTGGTTTACGAGCTAGGTGTTCTAATGCTAGAGGCTTCGGCCGGATACGACCTGGCACCCAAGCTCCGAGACTTCTTCGTGCACGTATTCCGTGACCCTCGAAGGGGCAGGGGGCGGGATATCGGACACATTGAAGATGATGAGGGGGGTCCGCCTGTAGGGGGTCCCGGTGGATGTCCGTCCCACGGGTGACGAGGGTGACCCCAGACGAGGCGGCTTAATTGGGATGGGAACTGACTGGTGAGGCTTAATCGTCGACCAATGGGTCGAATCTGCATAAGGAAGGCAACCAGCACACACTCGCAGGCGGGTCGTGGAAACATTTTTTTGTTTTTTCTCTTGGTCTGCCCCGCGTCGAATTTTGAAGGCAGAAAATGTCGGTAGGAGGCGAGCATAACCAGGCCTAACTTAAACCTGTTAAAAGTAAGTCTAATTTTTTATATCACTTTCTTTAAATTGTAAACTTTTACTGTACTCTCTACCAAATAACTTTTTTATTGCACCATATAGCAGTCAAAATTCTTTTTATATAAGTGTTGTATATTTTACTTTTTTTGTTACAACATACATGAGCTTCAATTTAAAGTAGAATAACTTATATAGTAATTAGAGCAACTGTTTTAAAACTTATAGTAGATATAAGTTTAAATTCTAATTTAACTTGTAGTTACTTATATAACTAATTTTTTTTTCATTCTTTTAGGACAACCCGGGTTCGCAGCGCGATTTTAAAAAACTGAGAAGTCAGAAATTCTATCTACATGCTGCATATGATCAGTCCCAAAAAATTTCGGATTGTTCCAGGCACCGTCGAATACCTGGAAAACGTGTTTATTGTCAACTCTACAGGATCGGCCGAAGTCCATGGAGTTGGGAGCATTCGATGTGCCCCATAGCAGTGAGACGCCACTGTTTTTTTCGCCGTATAATTATTATGGTGGGACTGAAATTAACCTAAGCAAGATGTGATGGTGAGTTTTTATATTTTTACATTGTTTTTTTTTGTTGTCTATAGCTTTTTTTTGTTTCTTCTAGCATATGTATTTGTTAGAAATATTCTAATATTATTTTTTTTTCTCTTACAGGTGATACAGTATGGCTTGGAGAACTTCAAAAGTCGATTCGCGTCGTGGTTCCAAAGCAGTAACTTTATGTTCCCTACATTTACAGAATGTTGCACTAAGTACTCATTTTTTAATTTGCAATTTTTATATTTCATTTTTACTTTTTTTCTTACTCTATACAAGGCTTTAATATAAAGTTTTTTTAGCAATAATGGTAATAAAAAAATAACTCCAAAGAGACAAAATTAGGTAGCATATTGTTTTTCTATTATATTTGGAAATATGTAACTATTTTTCGTCTTAATTTTAAAATTGATAATATTATTTAATTTTTTTAATAGTGGTTTCTAATTAAACGTAAATTAGTAAATAATGTAATTTTACATTATAATGAGAATTGTAGTATTAGTAATTTATTTTTGTTACTAAAATTAAATTCAGTTTGTTCTTGCATAAATCTTTTTAGTACTAAACTGCTTTGGAATGAATTTTTTGGGGGACAACAGCAGGATTAGGGCCATCTTCTAGATGCCATCAGGTAAATTTATATAACTTTATATTTATCATTTTCTTTGACTAAAAAAATGATTTTCTTTTTTTAGGTAGGTGCGCAGCGTAGTCGTTTATTGTAGCATTATATCCCTTTTCCCCCTTTTTAAAAAATGTTTGTAAGACGCCTGAAATTGTATAAGTTAGTTATATAAGTAGTTGAATAAGAATTGGTGAGACTTGCAAAATAGAAGAGGACAGAGAAGATGGAAGAGGATTGCTATGAAATAGAAGGAAAGGAGATAGAAGATGTTCGAGAAAAAGAGGATGATTTGTTCGATGTAACGGAAGTTTTTTGAATGAAATTTGGAGCAACTGTATTAAGGTAATATTTTTCATCTAGTTACAAAAAATAAATAATTATCACAACTTTTATTTTTTTTTATAGTTGTTATTGGTATCTTGGACATCAAGTTTCATTTATTTATGTATTATCCAAGCATATCTATTGGTGGAAATGTAGAATGGTAGCTGTTATAACAACTTGGATGAATTATTAGAAACACCAAAGAAGTTTTGACATAATTTAAACTGGGAAAAAGCTCACAAATGACCAATTTATTCTACAGTAGATACAGGACACTAAGTTGACTTCAGCAACGCAGATATCTCTCAAAAATGGTAAGTTTTTTTCACATTATTTTCTTTCCTATTAAAGTTTTTGGAAAGTTTGGAATTTATGACATATTTTACACATAATGTGTATATTTCAATAGCTTTAGGTGCAATATTTAATTTTAAAGTTATTAGGAGAATTTTTTTATTCAAATCAACTTAATTTTGTATTTTGCCTATCTATATTGATATTACAATCTTTTCTTATTTTAATTTTCTACATTGATTCAAATTAATATACTTATTAATATTTGTTTATTTTTATTTTTAGATATCTGTTCGAGTGATGTACTGGGTGTTAATAGTTGCTGTTACAAATCTGCAAATGAGTTACTACTGTACATAAGTTGAAGGAATGCCAAGGAATTTTTTGCATAAAATGATCTGAAAATCTTACCCACCAATGACAATTTTAAGATACAATCAATAGTATTTGGATTGATTGGCCTTCATTACCGTTGCGCTATGAAAATGGTAAGTTATTTTTATTTTTTTATTATTTTTAAGGCTACAATTTATGTGTCTAACTACAAAATTGTAGGCTTTAAATTCAAAATAAAATAAGTTTGAGATTGAAAATATATTAATATACTAGTTGACGCCTGGCGCAAACGCCACGACATGTCAGGAAAAAAACTATTTATTTATTTTTTTAATTAAATGAAAAACAAAAAATCCGGCGACGACAGTTTTTAGAAGAGCCAATTAGCTATCTTTTAGTAAAAAAAGCAACTTTCTAGAGCAAGTCGTTACTTCAATACAGACGACACACAGATAAACATTAGCATTTTATATACTATGTAGATTTTTTTCAATATCTGTAGTTATTTACAAATTTGTATCAGATATATAGTATAATATACTAGTTAAAATATGTTTTCTATTTGTAAAAATCTATGAATATTTGATAATATGTTAGAGTTACTATTGCGTTGTATTTTTTTAATATTTACATAAAATATTTAAAAAAACATATTTTTCAACATTCAAAGATGTGAGGAGAAACTGATGTTATAAAAATTTATTTATTTATTTTTTCTATTTTTAGTGGGCTGTACAAATTGGTGTTGGTTTGATAGCTTCTGTTTCCAGTTCAAGTTCCAGTTTTAATGGACACAGAAAAATGCCATTTACTGGATTGACTTCAACACCTGTTGCCTTTTAACATTGGTAAGTTATGTCTATCAACTTATTCTTATTAAATTTCATGCTTGAAAATGTTGAAAATTTATTAAATTGTCCATCATATTCAAGCTTTTTTGTTATTATTAATAATTTATTATTATTAACTCATTATAATAATGTTTTATTTTCTTATGAAGGAATTTTACAATTTTTTATATCATTTCTGAAGTTATCAATAAAAGTTTTTTTTTAATTTTATATAACTATAACTTATTCAAATTAATATAAAATATGTCTATTATTTTTTTGTTATGTTACATAGTTCTAAATATTAACATAATTTATGTTATTGTCTGTTTTCTGATAGCTTCAAAAATTGCTATAATAAAAAATTACCCAATATATATTTTTTTTATTTAGGCATACTTAGGACTGTTGCTATTAGAAACCGATAAGACATACTAGCTGCAAATAATATGATTGGTGATCATAAAAGTGATTTAAATGGGATGAAACTTATGCAGAAGAAATCTAGGAAAACCATTTTGAACTGCTGTTACTTAATAGCTGTTAGAGGGGATCCAGTTCTTCATCAATGGTAAGTTATTTATCTATCTTATAAAATTTCATTGGACAGCTTGAAAATATTTTAAATTTTCTAATATTCGAGCGCTTTTGTTCCAATATTAGAAAAGCCAACAACTGTTAAAAATAGGCAGGACAAAATAAAATGCTGATACTGTATTACTGGTTGCATATTGTTACGGATTCCGTGGATCCACTAATTTAAACTCACGATAAAAATACTTAACGGATTTATTTTCTCACAATTTATACTGATTACAGCACACAATTAGCTATTTAATAAATCCTTCGCCAAATTGTCAATATTCGCTATTCAAAACTGGTTTAAAATTGCAGAACTCGTCACACATACATTGACGATATATTAATGTTCCCACTAGAATAAACGCAATAAATGCTATATACATATTTTAATAAATATAATTTTAATTAATCTTTTTTGTTTTGTTTTTATTAATCTTGTTTTCAGAAATCTTCCAAAATTTGTATAGTAAAAATTTATTTAATATTTTTTGGAATTTTAGGTATACGCTGGGACAATTGCTGTTAAAAATACACAAGCCGTACTATCTGCAAATATTATGGTGGACATCAAAAAGCTTTAAATGGAATGAAACTTGCAGGAAAAGACTCAGAAAGACCATTTAGGACTGTACTTAATAGCTGTTGAAAAGTGGTCGCAGTCCTTTATCAATGGTAAGTTATTTATCTCTTTTTTCTTACTAAATTTCATCGACAAGCTTGAAAATTGTGATAAGTTTTCATAATATTCAAGCTGCACAGGTCTCTCGAGGTCAACGTCTATTCCTATGTGTCATTTATTAAAAATTGATATAAAAATTTGTCAAAAATATTTAAATCAAAAAAAGGAAAAAGATTTCAAACATACCAATTATTATTCAAAGGTGAAAACCTTAATTTAAAAAAATATGAGCTTTGAATTTTTTAACATTTCATTCTTTAATTTTTATACCAATTTTTATAAATGATATATTGTGGTCTACCTGGCAGAAATAATTGTTATTTCAAAAGCCACTATAATGCTGTTTTTTTCTTTCTCATAGGGTATATACAAATTATTAATTTAAAAAACATAGTTATTGCATTAATAAAAATATATTTATTTTCATTTTTACATAGATCGTTTTATTCCTTTTTTTTAATATTATTTTTATTTTATTTTTTAGATATCTCTGCATTTTCTTAACAATGGATATCAACAGTTGCTCCTACTCCTCACTTTCCTCTTTCTCTCAACATAAAGCAGACTCAATACTCCTCAATGCTTCACCAAGGTTCGTTAGCTTCATTAATAGTGTTATTGTTTCAATAAATTTGTTTATTGGTTTTTATCCTCTTACTATATAATTATATCAGGCGTCATTTTAATGTTAATTTTTTGTAAAATTTTGATAATCTGGATAGAAACCTTTTTTTTCTTAAGTTTTTGCAATATAAAACACTAGTTAAGAGCAATACACCTTATTTTATGAATAGGACCATTATCTCTGTTGATATTGTCTTTATATTTATGCTTTGTGTTGCCTCTAGTTTGAGGGACGTTTGATTAATTTTAAATCATTCAAATCAATGCAATAATCTATATGTTGAGCAACATGATACTAATCTGTTATAATTTTTCATCTCAAGCTTTTTTTCAATCTCACCTATCTTATATTTACTTCCATCAGTTCCATCATTAAATTGTTATTAAATAACTATAATTTGTATTCTGGATTTCGTCAAAGGTATTTTTTAAAATAATTAAAAAACAATCTTTATAGGCTTGTATCATTTCCAATTTATGTTTATCTTGTATTATTTATATTTTCCTAAGCTTCTCTAAGTTTATTCCATATTATCAAAATTATAATTTTTATACTTGCGCAGCTGCGTCACTATAGCCCTATGAACACAAGTATTATTTTGGTTTTAAAGTTTATGTTTTTTAATATTTCATTTATTGTATTAACGCAAAACTAAATTTTATAGAATTTAACTAACTATATCTTCAACCGGATGATAATTTAATAGTTAATGGTCAATTTAATATTTTTTCATAAAAATGAAATGTGATTATTGAATACTAATGTCAAACCCCCCAGTAGAAATGATTTATTAGTGTTTATTTTTTTTTTGAAATAATTTTTTTTACAAAATTAATTTTGGATACTTGTGTTCATATAGTTTTTTTTTCTTTTGATAATTATTTTTGGTACCCTAACACAGATGTTTTTAATCAATTTATATGATTTTAAAACATTTATGTTTATATCTATTTGGACTTAAATTTTAGTGATAAAGTTTGTTTCTTTAACACAGAGAGCAATGCACTTCATGCATTGTTTTCTTTTTTATGTGCAGAATTCTCTTTATATACAGTATGTCCTCAGAACGTCTTTACAAGAGCAAACGCTTTTTTTATTAACATTTTCATAAAAGATACATTCCTTATAAAAATATTTTTCTTTTTAATATTTTCATTTTAATTTTTTTAACAAATATATTGTGAGCACACATTTTAAAATTATTTTTCGTAGATATACTGTGCGATTCAAGTATATTTATACTAAAATTGTATTTTTTTTTAAATACAATGTTTTTTAATGTTTGTACTAGTTAATATACCACTCTAATCCAATCAAAATTGCATGAATTAATTATTTTAGAAGAGTTCAATTGAAAATAAATACCTGAATTTTAACCTTTAGTATTACTGGTTGCCTAATCGATCTTATGTAATGTTGTGATAATGTTCATATTATTTAAAAAAAATCTTATTTCCAGTAGTATTTTTTTCTCTCAGTTTTAGTATTTAAAATGTCTCTCTTGTCATATTTATTTAACATATCTATTAGACCTCTACGACCCTTCATCTCTGAAAAATACAAACTGCTGTTTGCTATGTGTTAATAAAATCGTTACACTTGCGTTTAAGCTAATTAATTACATCTTATCTTTTTAATTGCTATATATTTTATTTATAAAATATGAAACAAACTTTATCTCCTAAAATTTAAGAATTTTACATATGAAAATATGTAAAAGGGGGTAGGGTATATAATATATTTATTGTAGGATCAATTGAAATATCATAAGTCATAATATAAAAATTAACATTGTATATACATATTTGTTAAATATAGAATTTTAAGATAAACACATTTTTACACAAAAATAATAATTCTAGTTTTATATGTGGCATATATCTTTTTTCAGTTGGTCCTTCAACATTTAAAATCTTTTGACATAGATTTCATTCCACTTAAATGTCACAAAAAGATATATTTTAATTCTAATTTTGTATGTTATTTGGTGTATTAGAATTTTATAAATATTGTTTTTAATATTTTGTTAAGAATAGTGATCTATAGCTTACCTTTACTATCTGTAATAGGAAATATTTTCAAATATCTTTTGTTGAAAATAAATACCGTATGATCGAGAAAAAACAGCGTCAGCGATGGCTATGAAATGAAGATCACTGTCAATTTATATGGGAAATGTCATCGATCGTCATTTCCCAGCCAACTGGAGGCCGTTTTTTTTCATCATACGGTATTACTTTATAACATTTATTAAGCAAAATAAATTTGAAGATCCCTATTATTATCAAAGAGATATCATTAAAGTATTTCAATACAATATGTTTTTTTTTCAAACGTCACAAAACTACTAATTTTTGCGACATGATGACAAAGATTGACATATAAAAAAGTAATTTTTACGCTTAAACACAAAAGTGCAAAAATTATTATCAAACTGACTTTAAGTGTCAAATTTAACAAGCGTAACCATAGTTTCTCGATATATAATTACTTACAACATATTACTTTTAAATATTTTAATATTTTTTGCAACGTTTGAAATTGTTTAAAACCATTTAAAACATTATTTATAACGTTTGAAAAAAGAACATGTTCTATTCGGAGTAAGAATTACTTTTAGTGTCTCGCCGCAAAAAGTATCATTTTTACTCATGATCGAAAAAAAAACGGCGTCCAGTTGGCTTGGAAATGAACATCAATTACATTTCCCATATAATTTTATATATAAAATGACAGCGATCTTCATTTCATAGCCATTGCCGACGCCATTTTTATTCGATTATATTGTACTATTTCTGTACAAATGGTATTATCTGTTGTTTTCTATATATTATTGTGATCTATTGCTGTATTTTTGTTCTGTAAATGTTTTGTATACATCTATATTTTGTAAGCGTTTTAGAGATTCCGAGCACTACGTTTACAGTCATTTCTTTTTTCATTTTAAATATTTTTTGGTCGTGTCTAATAATTAATCAGCTAATTAAGAATCTTTTTTTTAGTAGGTAAAAAAGAATAATTTATATTACTACAGAGAGGCCCAATGTTCCAAAAATAATCATATTAGGTCTTCAGTTTGAGATTTTCACTGATTTTTTTTTTAGAAAACCTACAAGTTACAGTAGACCATATTTTAAAGCCAGTTCTTAGATATACACAGGTTGTTTTTAATATATTTTTGCTTTATATTTATAATTCTATTGTTATTTTAGATTTTCCCTGTACATTTTTAAAGCTTTCACAATTTTATAAAGGCGTATTTTTTCTAATTGAAAATATTTTATATAACAGAAGACCAAAACAAATTATACTAAAATACTTTATATGTTAGTAACTAAATATAATATAATATCTTTCTCTGCTATTTAAATAAAACACCCTTAATTTTATTAATAATATACTTTATAAATAACAAAATTGTGGCATTGTGAATATTTAGAAATTAAATATATCTAGATATTTGAAAGTAGAATATATTAAAAAAATTATGCTTAGGTAATTACTACTTCAAATTACTCGACACAAATAAATTACATTAAATAACATTCTTATGAGCTGATACTGTTGCTTTGTATGCATCTCGCAAGCTTTTTCTGGAATAATTTATTTAATTAGCACTTATCAATTATCTGAACTAATTTTAAGACTGTAAACTGTAGTTTTGGAATCTTTAAATATTTAGTCAGTGATGGGATTAAGATTTGTAATTGTATAATGATTAATCCACCACTGTACTCCAATAGAAAATTGCGTAAATTAATTATATAAAGCTCATTTTACATAGAAAAATCATCTGAAAATAGTTATCTCAATTTCTTTATATTTTAGTATTACTGGTTGCCTAATCGATTCTTACTCATTCAAACACCTTAAAAGCAAAGAGGTTAGCTTAAAAGTTAATTTTGTAGAATAATTAATATATTATATATAATTAATATGCCGGTAATACTAAAGCACATATTAAAGCCATTTAAAATTTCAGTTAACTAGGAGTTTAACTTGTTATTTAATATGTTTTTTATTTATTTATCAACTATTCAATTTAGTTTTTTTTGTATAATTTTAATTCATGCGATGAGCGATTAATTAATTTATGCAATTTTTAATGTTATATTAGTTTCAATGGAAAATAAACAACAAACCTTGTAAAAGCTTTCATTGTTAAAATGTTTATTCAAATTGTAATCAAAGACAAACTAAGGGCTATGCTCTAAATTATAACGCAATGTTTGGTATACTCATATGAATGGTATATTTGTCACTTCCTCATGAGTGTATTTTCTGTCATTTTATCATTTCCACTTTGTGTGCTTTATTGAAAGTATTGGCGCTTGTTAGGAAAAGTATATCAATCAATAATGTTGTACAGACTGTCCAATTGAACTTTCTCGCTCATTAGTAAGGATAGGACATTGAGATTTTTATAAACTTGATTTTTATGAAAAATAGAATTGCCACGGTCCCATTTTAGTTTCTATGATACAGGGTGATTTTGAAAATGTTACAGTTTCAGATGCATCTCCTATTTCAGTAATCTGACAAATTATCAATAAATTTTAAAACAAATTGCTATGGAACTTCTTTTTTAATTTCTTTAAATAATTTAAATAGTTTTTTTAATATCGACCAATGTTTAGTTTCTATTAATGGGACAGCCCGTATATTTGTCAGGAAATTAGTGTATCTTCTCACAAGCCACCATAAGTCACAGTTTTTAATTAGAGGTAGAACAGTTTAATACAAATTTTGCTATACCCTATCTCATTGTTCTTAGTACATATTTGTATTTTTAGTTCTTTATTGTTTAAACTTTTCATTTAAAAATTAAATAGATCAAAATTGGTTTCGCCATGGTCCTATGTCAATTTTTATTTGTATTATTTTAAAATTATTAATTCTGCTTTAAGATTATTTTTTAACAAGTATACAGGGTGTGTGATGAAAATGTTAAAAAAAACTTGCTTTATCTCTGGTTCCACCTAATATGTCCTAAGTATATGAATCTGTTTTTATTTTTTTTCCAGAATACTTATATAATATGAGGTGTGTGTAAAACTGCAATACATTGATCATGGAAACTAAGAGGGCCATGACAATTTTGTGTACTGTATCTTTGCTTTCAAGAAAAAAATAATGGGTTCATTTAAGTAACGAGTTCGACATTTAGTGTTCTTTACTAATAAGCGAGAAAGCCCTTAATTGCAACTAATGTGGAAATGACGAAACCGTTTAACATGGGTATCTCATGTTTTATAGTGTTTCTTCCTTATGAACGGAGATAGGAGGTAGCGGTTTTCGCAGTGGCTACTATTTTTTTATAAAATACCCTACGGTCGAAAAAAAACGGCGTCATGAACGGCTGGGGAATGACAATTTTTGCGAACTCAAGCCCTAGACTTCATTTTCTTGTCCCGTCCTCTTCTTTATTGTTTATGGCGCTTACTGTCAGTTGCCCTTAAAAAGGTTTTAATTTATTTTTATATTGAGTAAAAACGGTTATTAAATGGCGTAGTTTAAAATTACAGGAACACAATATTTTTTGGAAATAGATTTGTGTGTCTAGAACCGGTTCTATCCTTTTTTTATTCTTTCTATAATTAGTGTTAATATTGAAGTTTTATGTAAAATTTTACTAAATGACGTCTAGAGATTGACCTCGCCAAAATTATCATCGATTGTCATTCCCCAGACGCCCTTGACGTAGTTTTTTTACTTTTTTTAAATTACATGTTATAAGAGTCAGTTTTTGAGCTACAGG